GGAGCTTGGCAGTCGGGAGGGCTGGTGCCGGCACTCAGCACTCACCCCAGCCCCCCGACACTGTGGGAAAGGCAGAGCGTGGGGGGCTGGCCTCATAGCTGGCGTGGACAGAGCCGGGCTCTCCCTGGTCTCTTTCTAGGACCCTGGAAGAGAGGCTCTAGAAAGTGCAGGGAGCCATCTGGAAGGACCTCTTGGAGGTGGTGACATTTGGTCTCAGAATTAAACTCAGGGAGACATGGCCAAAGACTTTAGGGCACAGGACCCCCAAAGACTCCAATGGGGGTGCCTGGAGCTCGTCCAGAGGCTGTGTGGTGCAGCTCCATGACAGGGAATGGGATGGGGAAGCTCCGAGGAGGATTTGGAGAGCTCCAAGTGCCGCGCTCCAGCCCTGGAGCAGGTGGGCATTTGCTGAAGGAGCTGTGGGCCAGGGCCGTGCGGCCTGGGCTGTCCTGGCAGCCTTGGGGGGTGGCGTCTGGAGAGGTCTGTGACCACCAGCCTGCTGAGGTTCTAGGCCTGCTTGGGGTCGGGGTGGTTCACATGCTGCTCTGTCCCTTCCCAGCTGGCCCATCGGGGTGCATCTGGCTGCCCTGGGCTCAGCTCACCGGCTGGCTTCCAGGGGGTGGCAGCGGGAGTGCCGGTTGTGGAGGCCGTGCTGTGGCCCCGACTCAGGGAGGGGACCGAGTCCTATAGGGCACTGTGCCTTGCCCACTGGCCATACCCATCACCCAGGGTGGCCCTGCGTCAGCCCCTGGCGGGGGCTGTCCTTGCCCATGTGGCCTATAGCTTGTGGGGCCCCCGCTGTGGCCATGGCACAGAGGACAGGGGAGGCCATTGAGGGGAGCGGGGTCTCAATGGGTTGGTCTGTGCCCTGAGCTGTCCAGCTGGGCTGGCGCCTGGCACAGGGCCTCAGATGGCGTGCTGCCTCCGTGGCCTCCCCCCGCAGAGGAGGAAGGCCCGGGTCGGCCGAGGGCCCTAAAAGCTGCAGACTCACAGGCTAGAGCGGTCCTGGGGGTCCTTGCTGGCAGGGGAGGGCAGGCCTTGAGCGAGGGGCCCAGCCCAGGTGTGGCTGGCCTTTCCAGGCTAGAAAATCCGGCCCCTGATGCCTTGCCCCCGCCTGGCCGGGAGTGTGCTTGACAATGGGACCGGGAGGGCAGCGCTTGGCCTGGCAGCCAGGGTCCCTTCCTGGACCTGTTGTCAACTCCGGAAACTGTCCTCTGGGAGGTCACGGCCCAGCCGTGGTTTGGGAAGGGAGCACGAGGCAGAGGTGCTGTGGCCAGCGGGGTCCCCGGGCCTGGCCACCCGCACGCTCACATGTGACTGTGTGACAGAGGGGCGGGAGGGTCCCAGGCCTGGGGGCTTTTCCAGGCCGGGCCTCTGCTCTGTCCGCCTTGGCCAGGCCCCGCCGTGGGTGTTGGATCCCTTTGTGAGCCGAGATGGTGGGGCTCAGAGGGTCTGCAGGCCTACTGGCCTGGCTCCTCCGGAGTGGTAGCAGGGTCCCCATGGAGGCCTCCGCTGGGGCAGGGGCTGGGCGAGCTCTCGGTGGTGACATGGCTAGAGCCCCGTCGCTGGTGCAGTGTCTCTGCCTCCATGCAGAAGGTGGAGGGATCGCTGGAGCAGCCCGCCTCCCCGGAGCGAAAGACAGGTGAAACTACCGTCCTGGTGTGGGGCTCAGGCCCCGGAACCCGGCGCCGCGCACTCACTGAGTTGAGTCGAGTTGGGGAGGCTTTCCAGGTGCAGGCACAGTCTGTCTTAGACCGTAAGTCATGCTGTGCAGGGGTTGACACTGTCTTGCTGAAGGCGCTGGGCATCTGCAGGCTGATGACAGGCAAGCCCAGTGGCCCGGAGACACCCATGCCGCCGGTGTGCCTGAGGAAGCCCGGGCTGTCTCTGACCCCGTCAGGGCCAAGGTCTTGGAAGGTGCAGGAAGTGGCTCCAGGATGCACTGGGGAGGCCCACAGAGGGGTGGAAGGTGCCAGTGGGCTTCAGGGGCTGGGCGGGCCTTGGTCCCTTCTGGGGTGGCATCTGGGGCTCTGTGCAGGAGCCGGGGAAGGAGGGCCTCCCAGCCCCCTTCCCTGAGTGCAGCGTTAGGTGGGGGAGCTGAAGGTTGCCTCTGGTTCCCGGGCAGGGCCCTGCGGTGCAGTCTGCTAGAGCCCCCTGGCTGGTGCAGTGTCTCTGCCTCCATGCAGAAGGTGGAGGGATCGCTGGAGCAGCCCGCCTCCCCGGAGCGAAAGACAGGTGAAACTACCGTCCTGGTGTGGGGCTCAGGCCCCGGAACCCGGCGCCGCGCACTCACTGAGTTGAGTCGAGTTGGGGAGGCTTTCCAGGTGCAGGCACAGTCTGTCTTAGACCGTAAGTCATGCTGTGCAGGGGTTGACACTGTCTTGCTGAAGGCGCTGGGCATCTGCAGGCTGATGACAGGCAAGCCCAGTGGCCCGGAGACACCCATGCCGCCGGTGTGCCTGAGGAAGCCCGGGCTGTCTCTGACCCCGTCAGGGCCAAGGTCTTGGAAGGTGCAGGAAGTGGCTCCAGGATGCACTGGGGAGGCCCACAGAGGGGTGGAAGGTGCCAGTGGGCTTCAGGGGCTGGGCGGGCCTTGGTCCCTTCTGGGGTGGCATCTGGGGCTCTGTGCAGGAGCCGGGGAAGGAGGGCCTCCCAGCCCCCTTCCCTGAGTGCAGCGTTAGGTGGGGGAGCTGAAGGTTGCCTCTGGTTCCCGGGCAGGGCCCTGCGGTGCAGTCTGTGTGGTTCTGACCCAGTGTGGCCAGGCGCATGCCACTCGCTGGTGCCGCTCGCTGGTGCTGGTTCCTCCCAGCAACCGGCGCTCCGGGTCCTGGGCCTGCCCCTCCTGGGGCTGCCTGGCCTGGTGATGGGCTCAGGGCCAAGCCGGTGTTGCCTCTCTGGCCTTGGCCTCCCCTTCCCGCCCGCCTGGACTCTCTCAGTGTCCCTCAGGGAGCTGGTGGTCATGGGCTGTGGGAACCCTTGCTAGGCCCCAAGTCGGTTCTGGCTGGGGCCGGGCCAGGGCTCAGGGTGTCTGGGCAGCTGCTTGGGAGATGCCAGTGCTGAGCAGGAGACCAGGCCACGGCCGGCCACCTCCCCAGTGGGCTACATGCTGGCCCTGAGCTCCGCGGCTCTCTGGGGCTGCCGGCAGCTGCTGCCTGAGTCCCTGCCATCCCAGCTGGGCAGGGAGCCTGGACAAGGACTGTCTGGCTTCCTGCCACCTCTGCCCCTGCCCCTCCCTGGCCACGCTGGCGGGCCTGTGCGTCCTCAGGTCAGGCAGGGCTCCCCTCTGTGCGTCCTGTCCTGTCCCCTGGCACGGTGCAGAGTGGGTTCAGAGGCTGAGGTCCCTCAGATGAGTAGAGGCTTCACACTGGCCCAAGGCTGGGCAGGTTGTGTAGGGGTGGGGGCTGCAGGGCGTCTTTCAGGCCGGGGTAGCGGCTGCAGCAGACCACTCTCCCCTGCACTCCCTCCACTGCGTGCAGCCTCCCACAGTGTGGGTAAGCCTGCATGAGCAGAGCTGGGCTTGGAAAACCGCCCTGTGCCCGCCTGCTCTGGGGATTGCTGGGGACTGTGGCCAGGGCCCGCAGGTGAGGAGGTCCGGGTCCCACGTGTGCACCTGCAGGCCTGGGGTTGGGGGGCTTGCCTGTTGCTGCAGGGCTCTGTGGGGTTGACCTCGGTAAATTGTTGCAGGGGCCCGGGCTATGGGGGCCCCGGCTGAGGGGGCCGACACACCAGGCACCTTAGGCTTGGTGGTGGCCGGCAGAAAGCCCAGCCTTCTGGTGCGGCGTGTAAGTCAGCGCACTGAGGAGGCCGGCCTGGCAGGACCTCGGGGGTCGGGGAGAGCTGCCCACCGGGCTCAGCTGCAGGGGTGAGGATGGTGCTGGGGACAGGTGCACACTGATCCGGCACTGTCCCCTTCAGCCCTGGCCACCCTGGGTCACAGCTGCCACCACCTCAGCTGTGGTGTCTGTGGGCAAGGCCCACACGGCCGGCTCAGGGATCGTGGGAGGGGGCGAAGGAGACACCCCCGTGGGCTGTGGCCTCAGCTCACTCATCTGAGAGATGGGCATGTTTGAGGAGGCTCTGTCCCCGTGGGCCAGCAGTGTGCCAGACCAGAGCTGGCCGCTGCCTGGACCCCTCGGGGCAGCAGCATGGCCAGCCAGAGGAGGGACTGTCGGGTCGTTGAGGGGAAGGAGGTCCTGGCTAGGTGGGGTGAGGTGGGGGCTGGCGATTTGCCTGCTGAGAACAGACCCCGCCCAGTGCCAGGTGCCCCTTGGTCACAGTGCGCTGGACCTGGGCTGGTGCTTGTTCGAGGCTCTAGCCCTGACTCAAAGCCTGAGCCTGCGGGACCGCTCTGCGGCAAGGGCAGAGGTGGGTGGTAGAGGCAGCATGGGCCCCGAAGAAGCAGCCTTTGGTGGGTTCTCTTCTGGTGAGAGTTACTCTGATCGGCTCTCCCTGTTCCTCTTCCGAGAAGCCCTCTCTGACCTCCAGGATGGGCGAGGGGCTTTGTGGGCTCCTCTGGCTCCTGTTCTTAGCTCTGTGGACTCTGGCCTCATGGTTAGAGAGGCCATGTGAGCCCCAGTCCAGGGAGGGGAACTAGGTTGCACCCCGACCTGGGGGCCGAGTCCACGCCTGAACGATTGGATAGACCAGGGTCCTGCTGCTCTCGGCCTGCCTTCTGTAACAGGGCCCTCCTGGCCCGCCTGGGGCTGGGGCCCTGACGGCAGAGCTGTGTGTGGGGGGCAGGCTCACGGCAACGGAAGGGCTATCTTTCAGTGGGCCCTGCTTCTCGCCAGCCTGGCCAGCAGCGTGGGTGGGTGGTGGCATGGGGATCTGGGTCCAGGTTGGTGCCAGCCGCTGGGCAGACGGGCGGCCCCTGGCCCCTTGGACCGCTGTCAGGTTGTTTCCCTGCTGGGCTCGGTGACGAGGCTCAGGGCTCGCGGTGTGGCTGCATGGGCCCACTGTGGTGTGGAGGTGACTGACGAGCTGTCCCTTGCTGTCCTCAGGACCCTTGTCTCTCTGCCCTGCTCCTGGATAAGCCCCTGGCGCCCGGGGCCCTGCTGCCCTGCCGCCCGCTGGCTGAGGGTCGCTGCGACGTCTGCGCCACGCACCTGCAGCAGCTCACGCGGGAGGCCCTGCGTCTACTGCCGGGCCCC